CCCCCCCCCCCCCCCTTCCAGCCCTTCCAGACACCTCTCTTCCTCCTTACTTCCCAAGATCGCCCGCTAGTCCCTTTCCAGCTGTTCCAATCTCGATGGTCTTCTCTGTTCCCCCCTCCCTTCCGGGGGGCAGATTTCACCCCCTCCCTCCCGATCGATCATCTCCACATCCCCCTGCTCACCCTCTGCTGTTCCCCATGGGGTCTCCCCGTCCTCTCCTCCCTCCTTATTCTCCCCCATCTCGACCTCTCTCGTTTGTTGTCGCTGCGGTCGGTCTCCCTCATTCTCCCCCCTTTCCTCCCTCTTTCCCCGCCCCTGCTGTCCGCTTTCATTCTGTCTCCCCGCTACCCCTGCGTTCCCCTTCTCCCTCTTCGCACTCTCAGGCGTTCTTCGCCACCCCTGCCTCTCCTCTTCATCCTCCCCCTTTTCCTGTGCTTTGTCACGACCCAAAGCCCTCTGCTGCACCTCCCCCTCCTGTCTTCCTTCGATCTCCCCTTCCGTCCAATTCTCCGCGGGGCCACTCCCATTGCCCTGATTGGAGAGTTGCCGTATTCTCACCGAGGGGAGGAAGTGCCCTGTCGACACTCCCTCCACATCGACGAAGCTACCCTCTACCAGGAGCTCTGCACTGATCACGTAATCATGTTGCTGCTCGAATTTGATCCATCCTTCTATCTCTTCTCTCACATTCCTCGGTCTTGCCGGGTCTTCTCGCAGCCTCCTCTCTCTATTGTTGAGTTCTCTCCTTGTCTCTTGTATCGTGAGGCAGCCCATGTTCCCTGCCAGGTGGCCATGTCGTCTGCATGTCGTGCACCAGGGTGTCTCGCCAGTGATATGTCGGACCGAATGACGACCATATATCCCTAGGTCGATCACCAACCGGTCCAAACCTATCCTTCTAAGAGGTGGACGTAGGTGGAATGTTATTTCCTCCCTCCCYAGGGCATCCRTTGTTCTGGYCCCCTYGTCRTTSAKCACTTMGCCGAAAAGGTGAGCGGCTGTCTCTCGCAAGAAGGTTCGTACTATCGGCGGAGGATGAATAAACTTCACCCACGGGTGGCGCTTGCGCTCCATCAGTCTATCCCACTCGAGCTCCACCGGCGTTTTCCATGGTGCAAAGGTAGCCACATGCTCTTGGCCATTGATGTTGACCTTCTCTTCCTTACGAGTTTCCACCAACCACGTTCTCAACATCGCCGATGGTGCCCAATAGAGGATCGTCGCGGGCCCCTCCACAGTCATCCTCCCCTTGAATCGTCCTCTCGCCAGTCGTGGACATGTGCCCTCCCACTGGCCGACGAGATCTACCTTCAGTTCCGATGAGAATTGTCTCAGCAGACCCTCGAATCGGATCAATACTGCGTGCGCGCGCATGTACGTGACGTACACTCTCGCCATCTCCTGATTCACTCTCAAACTAATTTCGCCCCCCTCCATGCTCTGCCCCGCTGTCCCCCCTGGCATCAACATTCCTGTCAGCGCCGCTTTCCGGACCGCCTTCATCAGATTCCACTCGGACCTCCCCCCTCCATTGTGATTGCAGCGCTGCATGGTCGCTAATCTCTTGGCGACTCCCTCTCGTCGATACCATGTCCCGTTCTTCTCTGTTTTCTGTCTCGCAAGGTCCCCTTTCCCCTGTCCATTACGCACACTCCCACTCGTTGATCGCCTAATGCCCTTACCGGGCTCCGCAATTACCGGTCCTCACCACGTCGTGGACAGCCTTGCTCTACCCCGCTCTCGGCCAGCCGCGGCCTCGGGCAGTGTTGCTCTACTCCATGCCTTTATCTCCCCTCTTCTACTCTCCTCCTCAATCCTCCGTATGGTTATCCATGTCCCCCCTCACCGCCTGCTTGCTCCGCCCCGTTGGCGGCTTCCCAAACGCTACCTCCTCCCTCCAATCCTTGCGATCAATCCACCGTGTCATTATCCCATGCCTTTATCTCACGCATTCTGCTCGCCTTCTTACCTCGCCGGTGACGCTCCTTACGGTCTCCACTGTCGGTTGTGGAG